TTACTACTAGTAAGGCACTTGTTACTACTAGCTTCTTGTTACTACTATTCTCACAATGGAAAATGGAAGAGGGTGTCCTTGCTGCCTTGCTGCTAGTAGCGATGCCAGGAGCCCCTAGTAGCGTCCTTGCTGAGAGGGTGTCTTCAAGTTAAGATTGTATATCCTCATAGCGACGGCCTCCAACCTAAAAGAATAGCAAGAGACAACGATGAAGAGACAAAGATCTAGATAATACCACTTGCTGTCTCCACCCATAAGTGGAAACCCGCTTGCATCCTCTTGCCACATATCGTCTTCTCTTCTCTTCTCGCGGCCTTGTGGGGCGGCAAAGACCCAGGGCTGTGTTGAGGTGTCCAGTCCTCACCTTGCTCCTAGTAGCGTCCTTGCTCCTCGGAGTAAGGCCAGGAGCCCCTAATAGCTTCCCTGCTCCTAGTAGCGATGCCCTTTGCCAGAGTCTGCCAGGATGAGGATTCGAAAGCTGCCTGGCTCCAGGAGGCCGCGGCTGGATCAGTCGTCCGGTCACCATCAGGATGAAATGATCCGGCGATGGCCTCCACCTACTAGCTTCTTGTTACTACTAGCTTCTTGCTACTAGTAGTACGGCCCCTAGTAGCATCCTTGCTCCTAGTAGTAAGACCAGGAGACCCAAATTTGTTTCTCTCCACTTTCAACAAAACCTTAATTGAAAGCCGTCCTCGAAAATATCAGGCCTAATACCTGTATCTTTTTACTAATAAAGACAGGCCATCTTGGGTGCATTTGGCCGCAGCAGCTTCTCTAGCCCCGCAGTGTCCAGTGGCCTTTGGTGCTACAGTCTGTCATTGGTTTCCACTGGTTTCCACCAAAAGAAAGCAAAGAAACTACACTGCCACACTCAGATGATCTCACCCACCAGGCGCACAGCATGTCCTTCCAAGCGCAGATGGCGCGACAACACCAGGCGAGTCGTGGATGATGGAAGACGAGGAAATGAGGAGAGAGAGAGAGAGAGAGACTCTAATAGAGATGGCCTCCAACCTAAGAGAGAGAGAGAGAGAGAGAGATGGACGAATGTAGTGTCATGCCAACACTTGAT